CTCTCATAGTTGAGGTCTACCTATGATGTCAATTACAGGCCTCTCTCATCTTTTTAAGTGGGAGAACTTGCACAATTGTTGACTGACTAAATACTTATTTTCCCCACTGTAAAGTATACCTCTTATTGGTATACTTATTGTACTGTATACTTTTTATAAACTAAAAAAGTTCCAGTTTAGTTCAAACAAGTATTAAATCAGTAGACTTTCTATTATACTACAAGTACATGGTGTCTAGTATACTTGATATTCTTAAACTTATACTCAAGTACACTTATTAAAATGAACTTCAAGTATACTACTTTTTGCTAAGGGCAAGGCTCGTGGGACAAATGTGGCCCAACARGTCATTTCATGTGGCCTGTGAGAGCTTCAAAGTCTACGCTCACTGCAGGCAAATACAACATTTGATTTTATTATGACAGTRTGAACGTGACCAATCTGAGCCAGGTACATATCTGATGTTTTTCAAAGTGACTYCAGTGTGAACGCTCATGTCACATTCCATCTGACTTTTACATCAGRSAGGTGGGSGTGAAGYATCYATAACTAACCTCGAGCCACGCTGTTTAAATCTGTGTTTACAGCTCCAAAACAGAAGTCCATTTGCTTCAACATTTTCTTTTCTTTTTTTATGTTTAGTGCAAAAAAAGTATGTAAATCAGTGTTTGGTTGATTATTTTGAGAGGAGCTGGACTCCCTGACAGCAGTGTCAGAAAGGAGGATGCTGGCAAAGCTGTGGGGAATCATGGACGATGGTTACAACACAGTAATGAGTCACATTCAGCAAGACTCATTCCATCAAAATGCACCACAGGAGCGTGTTCCTACCAGTGACCATCAAACTCTATAACTCCTCCCTAAACAAGTGAAACTAGATCTGTACATTTAACTATTTTTAGTCTTTATTTGATATTCAGTTTACTGTATTTTACCCATGACACTCACTAAACATGTGCATCATCTCTGTACACATTTTCTTAATATTTCCATTATTTTTATTGTACATTGTTTATGTGTACATAAGTSTGCTTATTTTGTAATCCTGGGGGTTTACACTTATTTTATTCTAGAGTGCTTATTTGAAATAAGAAATAAGTTATTTCTTTCCTTTCACGTGTCTCTGATCTGAACGGTTGCAGCTGTAATAATTTCCCTCAGGGATCAATAAAGAAATCCTGTTTCTGTTTTTGTCACAATGTTTCTTGGCAAATCTTACAGCAGCACCTGGAGGTACCAGAAGCTCAAAGAAAGAGTCAATAACAACAAAATAAGCTGTTTGACAGAGAGGATTTGGNTTCTTGGCAAATCTTACAGCAGCACCTGGAGGTACCAGAAGCTCAAAGAAAGAGTCAATAACAACAAAATAAGCTGTTTGACAGAGAGGATTTGGCTAATTTTTTCACATAAACCCACATCCTCAGCTCTACTGCTCATCACACATGCATGTTCCTTACAAATYTGGCACCGTTTAAATAAGAAAATYTTAGGATTTCAAACCTTATAAATGTATTGRCAAGAAGCATTGTTACAACAAATAAGTAACCTACCAAACACTAATTTACCTACTTTTWGTGCAAAGTTTATTTTAAAATAATTACATGGAGGTCTGTGTTTGAAAACTTAACGGGTCGTCATGAAGTGGATGACAACATTAGAAAATGTTGGGGGACATTATTGTTAAAACGACAGTAAAACTGGAGGCTTGCTGAGCCGAGGTCAGTTTTAGGGTGGCCCCTCATGTTGGACTCTACCGGTGGTCAGATGCTGCTTCCTGTTGCCCCACTTCACGTTCGGATGGACGATGAAGACCCGGTGCTGTCTGTCTCCGATTCCTGTAAAACCCTGCGGCGGCTGGAACAGCTCCTCCACATCACTGTCCTGCAAGACACCTTCATCCTCCTCCTCCTCGGTGTGTGTGCTGCTGGAGTCATCCTGGCRGTCCAGCCGGAACGCAGACACGGTGAACGGTCTGCACAGCAGCAGGGAGCCTGGATGRGTCCCTCCTGGATGTCTCCGGGGGGCTTGTTGACTCGTGAGTCCGCAGCGGGCTGCTGCTCTGTGACAGCTGGGTCTCTGCAGGAGAGGCAGCCGTGAATAAACCCGCCTCAGAGTCTGCATGTTTCAGAACAGAAAACGAACTTTACAGATACTTCCGCTGGTAGKTGTTGCTAGTGAAGGTGAACGAAGCACCGTCTCTTCTTGTCCTGTGAAAACTCAACACCGCCACCTGCTGGAGCGGCGGCTCTCTACAGCCTCACCCCTACTTGCGTTCCGTCTCCGCTGCGCTGCGCAGGTCGCAGCTGTGCGTATACTGTATTACAGGTGCTGGTCATAAAATTAGAATATCATGAAAAAGTAGATTTAT